ACGTAAGTCAAGAAAAAAAGTAATTCATAATTAAATTCATTTATTTAAATTATTACTTGTATTAAAATGGTGAGTGTTTTGCCTTTTCTGTTTTTTATCATTCTCACCCAAGGCACATATTATATTCTGTGAAAATGCAGAACTTATCGATCACTGCGAAACATGTGCGTGTCTAGTAGGTGGGAAGATCTAGCAATATGCAACGTTTCATATTCGCAAACAAATACACAAATTAATCTCTTTCCATTTGTCTGTGAATGCAGAACAAATGTCACGCATAGGAAGACAATCTGTACCACATCCGCCTGTCAGAGCACCTCCTCTACTGATCTGAACAGCATTGCTTTTAGGCTGTTTGATTGGATATTTCCCTTTCTTCAGGCGTGATCTCATTTCCTGCACAGTGACCGGCTATATTTATTTATTTCTGTATCTGCTCGGGCTAGAAATGTAAGCGACTGGCTTGTTACTGTATATAACACAAGAGCTGGATCACTGGAGACAGACGGAGAGTTTATGCAGCTGTCAACTCGAGCCACTGCACGAAATGGTTTGCAGAACGTACATAAGCGTTATTCTTTGATATAAAAAAAAGCGGCCTGGTTTTGGTAAGCTTCACTTTAAATGATCCTTTTTCTTCATTTTGTATCAGTAATTGTTCAGAAAATGCGGTCTGTTCCGTTCAGGGCTCGTGTAGAGCGCATATAAATCGCTACTCTTTGAGAGCAAATGAATGCTGTCTTCCGTTTGGGCAAAAACAAACGACTGGAACGATACTTGCTGCAGTAGATAGTTAGCTGTGTGTTGCATTAACGTCGAAACGCCTCGTGCCTCCCGGATCAGTTCAAGCACGAGCGCATTTAACGTTAACACTCTGGCGCGTGGGCAAGATGAACAGTCTTCGCCGAGATGCTTACAGCGTTGCATAACCTGTGGCTTCACGAAGGGAGCCATGACCCGAGCAGTGATGGCTGGTAAAGCTCCATGAAATTGTTTCTCAAGAATGAGTGAGAGCTAACGACGGGAGAAAGGAAGCTTCTCGAATCAATTGAACCAATTACTGAGCTAAACGAGTCACTGTTTTTTAAACGCTCGAAACACCACACGAAAACCCAGGCCAACATGCTTAAAAACACCCTTTACAAACCAATTGCAAGTGTTTTATTGGAAGTTTAATCTGATAAGTACTATTAACAAATCATGTAGGCCTAATACCATTCATACGCGTTATTGTTAAATTATAGAGGGTTTGTTTTGTCTGATTTATGGAGAGCTTGGTTAATCAGACCAATAAGAATGTATTAACTGTCACACTTGCTTTTTTATTATACGAATGCCTCATTAAAATGTAGGTAAAACAATATAGACACTGGTTCGGGTGTTTACAGCGATTTATTAGAGACATTTCTGAACAGTTATGAAGCTTAGATGGCTGAAATCACACGACTCTGGCGGTTCCATAAGTGCTTTGAAAGAAATGATTTGCAAAGGTTTCGATGCTTCATAAAGCAATGTTTTGAAACCGTTTTAATATCTCGAGTGAGGAAATGTTCAGGAAGTTTCTCCGAATTTGTGTTTATTGAGGAATGATCCCGGTTCTTATGTCTTTCAGATGTAGCCCAGACCTACAAGAGCTCTGCAGAACTGCCTCTCGTGGACGTTTGGAGGCCTGTGGTTGAACTTCTCCTGACTGACAGGATGTCCATCACGGACCATAGCCCCACCACCGGGGTCGTCACAATTATTGTAATACTCATTGCCATTGCCGCACTGGGGGCTTTAATTCTCGGTTGTTGGTGCTACTTGCGGCTGCAGCGCATCAGTCAGTCTGAAGACGAAGAAAGCATTGTCGGTGAAGGTGAAACCAAGGAGCCCTTTTTGCTGGTCCAGTATTCGGCCAAAGGCCCGCGGGTGGAGCACAAGACCAAGCTCACCCCTAACAGCACCGAGAGCCACACCTAAGTCCTCTCATCTCCCTTCACAATGCATACTGTGTCGTGTTTGCAGACTCCGTCAGTCTTAAAGAATTTTAAACCTTACAGTGTCAATCAACACTGAAATGAACAGAGGCAAACCTAGTGCATGCAGTTGTCTAGTTGCTTTGACTTGATTTTTTTTCCTCCGCCCATTTTGTGGTGGTAGAGCCCTGCTATAATGTGAAATCGACGACTGTGTGCGTTTTGTGCAATGCTGTTTGTAAAGCCGTAACTGCGTTCTGAAGCGAAATCAAAATGATTCTGATTTCTTTGGTGGTGTATTTACTTAATTTTTTTCATCCAGAGCTGGCTCTTGGATTAAGAAATTCGACACGAATTTTAATGGACTGATTTCAAAACCATGTCAAAGTTTTAGATAGTTTTGAAGCTTTCATCCAGTTCATTCCATTTACTTTAAAAAATAAAGGTTCTTTATGGGCAACTATGGTTCCATGAAGAACCTCCATGGAATTTTTCCCTTCCACAAAAGGTTCTTTTAAGAATTGTTCACTGATATGTTTTTTTTTGGGGGGGGGGACAAAAAATGCCTTTTCTATGGCATTGCTGTGAAAACTCCCCTTTTGAACCTTTATTTTTAAATGTTGACTTGCAATACTAAAGAAACATGTTTTTCATTACAAATAAGCACTTCAGGATACCATAACTTGCCAAATTATGTAAACTGGCTTTTGAAAGCTCTTACATTATATTTAGACATGTTTAGAATCATGGTTTCATTAGCACTTTTTTATCTTTAATGTGACATACAATTGATTTTGTAAAGTGCGTTTGCTGATTCTGGTTTAAACCTGCTAGGAAACCACTATAAGAACGAAAGCCAATGACTGAGGTCTTTTAATTATACTATTGTGACCCCAGAGGCGTTCGTTTTTCGTGGTTGAGCACGTTTCTACATCACGAGAAGTCATTTGAAAGTTTAGATATTATTTTTATAGATGGCTTAATGCATAACTGGATACTGAAAAGTCATTGTCTCGAGTTTTTAACCTGTTCCTTCATAGTATTATTTTTTGTTTCATTAATTCTGAATGTTTTTGTGAGATCACAGTGTTTGCTGTTTGTACATGTAAGAAGGAAGTGAGAGAAATTATTTATTTTTATACAGTATTCATGCAAATGTTGTCTTTAGGGGCAAAATCAACAGGCAGGCATATAGGGAGGTAGATGAAGCCTAAAAATGCAGCTGAAATGATTTCATTGATGTTTTGGGTTCTGTCATACATTTGAAGTCGGCAGATTTGTTTTGTGTGTGTATTATGTGCTGTTCAATATACAGAAATAAACAAGGACAGTACATGCATGTTAATTTACTCTGCATATTTGAGAAAAGCAACTTTTTATGAGTAAAGCGCTCCGTATATAGCTTATGTCACTCCAGCCAGTGTGTCTGTCCAGTGTTTGACTGTACTGAACAATAAAACCTGTTACTAGGCAAATGCCTGCTTGTGAGTTTTATGTGCATTTGCAACTTTTAAATGGAAGTCCTAACTCTTCTGTTAACTTTTTAAATATTACGCATTAGTGATCAGCATTTATGGACAGTTTTCTTACAGCATCATGAGTTAGCACAGTAAATTCCCCAAGTTTCAGGGTATGGCATGTATTAGTCATACTGGTTTGTGTTGGTGTTGGAAACACTTCCTGTTTTTGGTTCAAAAACCACCAAAAGGGTTAATGACCTGCTTAATTCAATTATTTAGACCTAATGCAAAGTTGTAGTTCTTTTAAGTTAGAGCTCTATAAGATGACCACAGTAATTTATTGTAATCACTCGCTGCTCGTGAATAACACAAGGCAGATGGGGACACTTTAGATGCATCTAGCAAGCTCAGATGAAGGCAAACCACATTATGTGCAGTGCAGAACTGTGAAGAAAACGCCACACATTTGTAAGCGTGTGCACAGTGTAAACTATTCATCGGTATTGCTTGAAAGTTAGTTTGTCAAATAGTTTTTGCAACTTGTGGGTCAACCGAGTCTTTTATTTGGAATGACAAATAAACATTAAAATTGTTGATCAGATTTTTAACTTGGTAAGATTTTGAAGAAAAGAAAAACGCTCACCAAGACAGCATTGGTTTAATTTAAAAACAAGAAAAAAAGGGAAATATTATTGCAGTTAGAAGTTACTTTTTATTTGAATATATTTTACAATTAATTTTATTTCTGGGGTGGCAAAGCCAAATTTTCAGCATCATTACTTCAGTCTCAGGGTCACAAGATCTTTTGGAAATAATTCTAATATGCTGATTTGACACTCAAGAACAGCATTTATTTGAAACAGTAATCAATGGTAACATTGTAAGCATCTTTACTGTCATTTTACCGCTTCGATTAACTAAACATGCTTGCTGAATATAATTACTTAAAGACACTAGCATACACCAGTTTTATTAGATCAAACAAGCATTTAAATTGAAATAAAACTAAATACTTATTACAGGGAATGCACAGCAGATCCAGCCCATAATGCATTTATTAAGATACAGAAGTGCAGCTGGCATGTTATCGCTTATTCTGTCTCCCTCAAGTGGATAAAACAAGCCTCGACATATTTCGCCTACTACAGCATGTCAATCTCTGTTTTCAATGTTCGTTAATACTCCATTATGGTATTACTTCCCTCGCCCTTTTACTTTCAGCAAAATTATAGAGGGTTTGTTTTGTCTGATTTATGGAGAGCTTGGTTAATCAGACCAATAAGAATGTATTAACTGTCACACTTGCTTTTTTATTATACGAATGCCTCATTAAAATGTAGGTAAAACAATATAGACACTGGTTCGGGTGTTTACAGCGATTTATTAGAGACATTTCTGAACAGTTATGAAGCTTAGATGGCTGAAATCACACGACTCTGGCGGTTCCATAAGTGCTTTGAAAGAAATGATTTGCAAAGGTTTCGATGCTTCATAAAGCAATGTTTTGAAACCGTTTTAATATCTCGAGTGAGGAAATGTTCAGGAAGTTTCTCCGAATTTGTGTTTATTGAGGAATGATCCCGGTTCTTATGTCTTTCAGATGTAGCCCAGACCTACAAGAGCTCTGCAGAACTGCCTCTCGTGGACGTTTGGAGGCCTGTGGTTGAACTTCTCCTGACTGACAGGATGTCCATCACGGACCATAGCCCCACCACCGGGGTCGTCACAATTATTGTAATACTCATTGCCATTGCCGCACTGGGGGCTTTAATTCTCGGTTGTTGGTGCTACTTGCGGCTGCAGCGCATCAGTCAGTCTGAAGACGAAGAAAGCATTGTCGGTGAAGGTGAAACCAAGGAGCCCTTTTTGCTGGTCCAGTATTCGGCCAAAGGCCCGCGGGTGGAGCACAAGACCAAGCTCACCCCTAACAGCACCGAGAGCCACACCTAAGTCCTCTCATCTCCCTTCACAATGCATACTGTGTCGTGTTTGCAGACTCCGTCAGTCTTAAAGAATTTTAAACCTTACAGTGTCAATCAACACTGAAATGAACAGAGGCAAACCTAGTGCATGCAGTTGTCTAGTTGCTTTGACTTGATTTTTTTTCCTCCGCCCATTTTGTGGTGGTAGAGCCCTGCTATAATGTGAAATCGACGACTGTGTGCGTTTTGTGCAATGCTGTTTGTAAAGCCGTAACTGCGTTCTGAAGCGAAATCAAAATGATTCTGATTTCTTTGGTGGTGTATTTACTTAATTTTTTTCATCCAGAGCTGGCTCTTGGATTAAGAAATTCGACACGAATTTTAATGGACTGATTTCAAAACCATGTCAAAGTTTTAGATAGTTTTGAAGCTTTTCAAGCTTTCCAGTTCATTCCATTTACTTTAAAAAATAAAGGTTCTTTATGGGCAACTATGGTTCCATGAAGAACCTCCATGGAATTTTTCCATTCCACAAAAGGTTCTTTTAAGAATTGTTCACCGATATGTTTTTTTTTGGGGGGGATGGGGGGGGGACAAAAAATGCCTTTTCTATGGCATTGCTGTGAAAACTCCCCTTTTGAACCTTTATTTTTAAATGTTGACTTGCAATACAAAAGAAACATGTTTTTCATTACAAATAAGCACTTCAGGATACCATAACTTGCCAAATTATGTAAACTGGCTTTTGAAAGCTCTTACATTATATTTAGACATGTTTAGAATCATGGTTTCATTAGCACTTTTTTATCTTTAATGTGACATACAATTGATTTTGTAAAGTGCATTTGCTGATTCTGGTTTAAACCTGCTAGGAAACCACTATAAAAATTTTAATGGACCGATTTCAAAACCATGTCAAAGTTTTAGATAGTTTTGAAGCTTTCATCCAGTTCATTCCATTTACTTTAAAAAATAAAGGTTCTTTATGGGCAACTATGGTTCCATGAAGAACCTCCATGGAATTTTTCCCTTCCACAAAAGGTTCTTTTAAGAATTGTTCACTGATATGTTTTTTTTTGGGGGGGGGGACAAAAAATGCCTTTTCTATGGCATTGCTGTGAAAACTCCCCTTTTGAACCTTTATTTTTAAATGTTGACTTGCAATACAAAAGAAACATGTTTTTCATTACAAATAAGCACTTCAGGATACCATAACTTGCCAAATTATGTAAACTGGCTTTTGAAAGCTCTTACATTATATTTAGACATGTTTAGAATCATGGTTTCATTAGCACTTTTTTATCTTTAATGTGACATACAATTGATTTTGTAAAGTGCATTTGCTGATTCTGGTTTAAACCTGCTAGGAAACCACTATAAGAACGAAAGCCAATGACTGAGGTCTTTTGATTATACTATTGTGACCCCAGAGGCGTTCGTTTTTCGTGGTTGAGCACGTTTCTACATCATGAGAAGTCATTTGAAAGTTTAGATATTATTTTTATAGATGGCTTAATGCATAACTGGATACTGAAAAGTCATTGTCTCGAGTTTTTAACCTGTTCCTTCATAGTATTATTTTTTGTTTCATTAATTCTGAATGTTTTTGTGAGATCACAGTGTTTGCTGTTTGTACATGTAAGAAGGAAGTGAGAGAAATTATTTATTTTTATACAGTATTCATGCAAATGTTGTCTTTAGGGGCAAAATCAACAGGCAGGCATATAGGGAGGTAGATGAAGCCTAAAAATGCAGCTGAAATGATTTCATTGATGTTTTGGGTTCTGTCATACATTTGAAGTCGGCAGATTTGTTTTGTGTGTGTATTATGTGCTGTTCAATATACAGAAATAAACAAGGACAGTACATGCATGTTAATTTACTCTGCATATTTGAGAAAAGCAACTTTTTATGAGTAAAGCGCTCCGTATATAGCTTATGTCACTCCAGCCAGTGTGTCTGTCCAGTGTTTGACTGTACTGAACAATAAAACCTGTTACTAGGCAAATGCCTGCTTGTGAGTTTTATGTGCATTTGCAACTTTTAAATGGAAGTCCTAACTCTTCTGTTAACTTTTTAAATATTACGCATTAGTGATCAGCATTTATGGACAGTTTTTTGACTTGCAATACTAAAGAAACATGTTTTTCATTACAAATAAGCACTTCAGGATACCATAACTTGCCAAATTATGTAAACTGGCTTTTGAAAGCTCTTACATTATATTTAGACATGTTTAGAATCATGGTTTCATTAGCACTTTTTTATCTTTAATGTGACATACAATTGATTTTGTAAAGTGCGTTTGCTGATTCTGGTTTAAACCTGCTAGGAAACCACTATAAGAACGAAAGCCAATGACTGAGGTCTTTTAATTATACTATTGTGACCCCAGAGGCGTTCGTTTTTCGTGGTTGAGCACGTTTCTACATCACGAGAAGTCATTTGAAAGTTTAGATATTATTTTTATAGATGGCTTAATGCATAACTGGATACTGAAAAGTCATTGTCTCGAGTTTTTAACCTGTTCCTTCATAGTATTATTTTTTGTTTCATTAATTCTGAATGTTTTTGTGAGATCACAGTGTTTGCTGTTTGTACATGTAAGAAGGAAGTGAGAGAAATTATTTATTTTTATACAGTATTCATGCAAATGTTGTCTTTAGGGGCAAAATCAACAGGCAGGCATATAGGGAGGTAGATGAAGCCTAAAAATGCAGCTGAAATGATTTCATTGATGTTTTGGGTTCTGTCATACATTTGAAGTCGGCAGATTTGTTTTGTGTGTGTATTATGTGCTGTTCAATATACAGAAATAAACAAGGACAGTACATGCATGTTAATTTACTCTGCATATTTGAGAAAAGCAACTTTTTATGAGTAAAGCGCTCCGTATATAGCTTATGTCACTCCAGCCAGTGTGTCTGTCCAGTGTTTGACTGTACTGAACAATAAAACCTGTTACTAGGCAAATGCCTGCTTGTGAGTTTTATGTGCATTTGCAACTTTTAAATGGAAGTCCTAACTCTTCTGTTAACTTTTTAAATATTACGCATTAGTGATCAGCATTTATGGACAGTTTTCTTACAGCATCATGAGTTAGCACAGTAAATTCCCCAAGTTTCAGGGTATGGCATGTATTAGTCATACTGGTTTGTGTTGGTGTTGGAAACACTTCCTGTTTTTGGTTCAAAAACCACCAAAAGGGTTAATGACCTGCTTAATTCAATTATTTAGACCTAATGCAAAGTTGTAGTTCTTTTAAGTTAGAGCTCTATAAGATGACCACAGTAATTTATTGTAATCACTCGCTGCTCGTGAATAACACAAGGCAGATGGGGACACTTTAGATGCATCTAGCAAGCTCAGATGAAGGCAAACCACATTATGTGCAGTGCAGAACTGTGAAGAAAACGCCACACATTTGTAAGCGTGTGCACAGTGTAAACTATTCATCGGTATTGCTTGAAAGTTAGTTTGTCAAATAGTTTTTGCAACTTGTGGGTCAACCGAGTCTTTTATTTGGAATGACAAATAAACATTAAAATTGTTGATCAGATTTTTAACTTGGTAAGATTTTGAAGAAAAGAAAAACGCTCACCAAGACAGCATTGGTTTAATTTAAAAACAAGAAAAAAAAGGGAAATATTATTGCAGTTAGAAGTTACTTTTTATTTGAATATATTTTAAAATTAATTTTATTTCTGGGGTGGCAAAGCCAAATTTTCAGCATCATTACTTCAGTCTCAGGGTCACAAGATCTTTTGGAAATAATTCTAATATGCTGATTTGACACTCAAGAACAGCATTTATTTGAAACAGAAATCAATGGTAACATTGTAAGCATCTTTACTGTCATTTTACCGCTTCGATTAACTAAACATGCTTGCTGAATATAATTACTTAAAGACACTAGCATACACCAGTTTTATTAGATCAAACAAGCATTTAAATTGAAATAAAACTAAATACTTATTACAGGGAATGCACAGCAGATCCAGCCCATAATGCATTTATTAAGATACAGAAGTGCAGCTGGCATGTTATCGCTTATTCTGTCTCCCTCAAGTGGATAAAACAAGCCTCGACATATTTCGCCTACTACAGCATGTCAATCTCTGTTTTCAATGTTCATTAATACTCCATTATGGTATTACTTCCTTCGCCCTTTTACTTTCAGCAACTACAGACACTGAAAAGAATACGACTTTATTGTGTTTATGTTGGTCCATATATAATACCAATAGGCATTAACACAGCAACCACACAACATAGTAAAGCAATTCGGTGCGGATGTAGAATAACAGATTCAGGACCCAACATTCCAAAACAAACCGCGGGTAAGAAATAAAAGTTTTTAAAAAGGCGGGAATTTGACACGGGAATCTCAGATGCGCTAGTTCTTGCATTCTGTGTTGGGTTCCAAAAAGCAAAATCCAGTTGCTATTTAATAAAAGAAACAAAAGGCGATGGTGCATTTATTTTTAACCGGTGATAAAAGCAACAAAAGCTGTGATTACTCTGAACACAAGGCCAGCTCTGTGCTTTCCGTGAAAACCCAGGAGGAGGAGGATGTCCTCCTTCTCTGGAGAGAGCCACACCACACTCGCCTGATTCAATACTGAACTCAAGGCATCATAGTTCCAGAACACCCTGCTTTAACAGATTCAGATTAATTAAAACATTACTTAATATCTTTAAGCAGAAAACTATATTTGCCAAAGTCATTATCGTTTGGTGCTATCAAGTGATCTTTTCTGGCTTTGGCAAGTTTCATCAAAAGGAATTCTCTTCTGTCCTTCCATTCATTCAGCTCCTCATCTCCATGTGCCAGCTTACAAAGCTCCTCCTCCGTGCAGGTGCCCTTGAGGAACCTGGAGCGAGCAGAAACCAATCTGTCAGCGATGGCTGTTAAGGGTTAATGTGATATGAGTGGTGTTAGACTGACCGTTCGCAGACTTTGAAGGTTCCTGTGGGGAAGCGATACTGCCAGCAGTTCTGATCGTCCTCGGAGTTGAACACTCGTTCTTTGTGCTTCTCGGAGGTGATATGCTGCTGCCACTGTTTATCACTGTTGCAGTTCTTCCCACACAACCAGCAATGGTTGCCAGCCTGATAAAACAGCATTTAGAGATTGAGGAATGCATTCACTTTCAGAAAAGGAATGTTCAGTCACTTTTAGAAAAGAAAATGTGTATATATATATATATATATATACACATACATACATACACACATATATCAATATCACACTACATGTATTTGACCAAGAACATAGTACAATAGTAATATTATGAAATATATGTCTTAAAAAAAATAACTTTTCTATATGAATATATGTTCAAATGTAATTTATTCCCGAGTTGCAAAGCTGAATTTTCAGCATCATTACTCCAGTCTTCAGTGTCACATGATCCAGAAATCATTCTAATATACTCATTTGCTGATC